GCTCTTGGTAAGTACACTACTTTTCATATATAAAGTATATATATGGAAAAAAATAGTGTTATATATTAATTAGTAAAATGTTAATCTTTCTATTTGTATAGGGTTTTTAAGTACTGGAGATGAGAATAGCCCTGGAAACTATGGAATTCTTGATCAAGCTATGGCGTTGAGATGGGTCTATGACAATATAGTTAGCTTTAACGGAGATCCTGACTCTATAACACTGTTTGGGCCAGGTGCTGGAGCAGCGAGTGCGGGATTGTTAATGGTTGCACCAAAGTAATTAAATTTGACATTTAATTATATATATTTTATAAACCATTTGTACATTAAACTTATTTTATCTTATTATAGAACTCGACAGATGGTATCAAAAGTAATAGCACAATCGGGTTCAGCTCTAGCTGATTGGGCGGTGATAGTAGACAAATACCGAGCACAAAATACATCTCGAGTATATGCAGAAATGCTCGGTTGTAGTATAGAGAGTAGTTGGAAATTGGTACAATGCTTAAAAGACGGACGAAGTTTCCTTGAGTTAGGTAATTCTGAATTAAAACCACACGTCGGAATGTTTCCGTGGGCACCCGTGCTGGATGTTAATTTTACGATTCCTCGAGATGATTGGTACGAAGATTGGAGAGCATCCGACTGGCGCTTTTTTACAGAAACACCAGAAGAAAGTATTAAAGCTCACAAATATAGGAAAGATTTGGCTTACATGGCTGGTGTCACAACTCAAGAAGCAGCATTTATTATAAGTATGTCATCTATTGTCTTATTTATTTTAATTTAACTGTTAGACTGTTTTCCTTTTAGGAAACAGTCAACAAATTTGTATCTTTGTTATTTATGCTAAGAAAGATGAAAGGATGTTTGTGTCGATTGTCTTTTAAAAGGAAAGCAGCCATATTTTTACTTTGAATATTTTACTGCTATTACTAAGTTTATATTATTCAATTGCATATGACATAAATTATTTTCCATAATATTTATTTTACAGAAAATAATGCTACATTAGCAAGAAATCATCACATAATAACTCCTGAGGTATTCGATCAAAGGATTTGGGAATTAGTTCTTCGATATAACTATACCCTAAATCCACAAGGAATTTACGAGGCAATAAAATATATGTATACATATTGGCCAGATCCAATGAACGTTACGCACGTACGTGATCAATATATAAATGTAAGTAGTATGTGAAAATACCAAACTAAATTTTATGTAAAATTATTGACTGTAATTATTATATTAATATTTTTAGCTCTTATCAGACTTTCATTACGTTGCACCATACGACAAAATAGCAAAATTATTAGTAGAAAGACACGTACCGACATATCTCTATGTCTTAAATACCTCGATAGAATCACTTTATTCGCCACAATGGGCTAGGGTACCTCATGATACCGAGCTTTTATGGCTGACAGGAGCACCGTTTATGGACGTTGGTATGTTCTTCTGTCATATGTATGTAAATGTATATAAAGATATATATACATATATATTTAATTCATTGCATAATATCTACTAATAAGATATTATTAACACAGAATTTTTCCCACAAAAATGGAGATTAAGTCGAGAAATGTGGACTGATAGTGATCGTAATATGAGTCACTTTTTCATGATGGCGTACTCTAATTTTGCAAAATATGGGTATGTATCTGACAATACTGATTTGTTCATTTGTATAATAAAATGAAAAATGCAATAATTATTAAAAATTTCATCCTAGAAATCCAACGCCTTCGCAAATCTTGGGATTGCATTTTGATATCGCACGTCATGGACAATTGCGATATCTCAATATCAATACGACATTCAATAGTTCTATTCAAATAAACTATCGTCAAACCGAGAGCGCATTCTGGTCCATGTATTTGCCGACTGTTATTGGTTACCTTGTCCCTACTTATCCTCCCGTTACAGAAGTAAGACATTGTAGTATAATATATATGCTTTATTGAATTATATCAATTGTTCTTACTTACAATTGTTATTACAGTATTGGTGGGAACCTAAACAGCCATTGCAAATCGCATTTTGGTCGATGTCGACGGCGTGCCTGTTGCTACTTGTACTCTCTGTGGTGTGCTGTATGCTTTGGCGTAACGCCAAAAGGTAAGAAAAGGTAAACAGAACCAAATCCATGTGACTACAGCTTCATTCGGTAGCACCCGCTGTACCGAACGGTAGCGCATGCAAAAACTGGTTCTGGTTTATAGACACAGTCCTTGCAAGATATAGTTTCTTTGTCTTTTTACATAATCATTTCTGAATATAAATTGCTAATTAACTCTATTCCTGCTTACAATTAGCAAAACGAAGGCTGCTAGGATACGTGCAGGTACTTATAGAAGATACTTTAGGCATAATTTTATACAATATGCCTGTCACACACATATTGCTTTATTAGTTGCACATGTTTGCACATATTATTGTATAATTCACATGAAAAATGGGCAAAGGTTCAAACTAAATAATAAAAGGCCCCGTTTTGCTTTCAATCCTGATTGCATACACCACTCATATCAGTTGGTGCCTCGTAATTTTGCTTTACCAATGAGAATATTTTATTTTTAAATTAGCCAATTAGCGATGCATGTGTGCAATATGCGATGTGTACAATCGGAGCCTTCCCTAATAAAATAAGTGATTAAGTTATTAACTTAACTTTTACTTAGATTTAGTTAGCTGCACGTATGCATATGTATTTTTATATAATTTACAAGAAATAGGCATAGTTCACTAAATAATAAAATATTAACTTGATTTTTACTCACAATTAGATATACATTTTTTCTGTATACAGTGTACAGTATTCTTTTGCATTATTTTCTCCACAGACAATCTGATCACTACTATAGCGGAGACATCCTGATGGTACGAGACGACGAGCACTCCGAGGGAATCGAGAATATAACACGTTCATCTAAAGAAAACATATACGAATATCGTGATGTACCAGTAAAGGCCCGAATACCGCGTCAAAACGAAGCGAGACTGCAAGAACGTTTAGCATATAACAGAAAATTCAGTTCTACACCCTCGTTACGTAGCAATTCTAATGTCTCATTAAAAGATATGAGATCAGAAGGTTTCATCACTAGCTCACCTAATGGTCATCCTAAAATGACAAAGACACTGAGTCAATCTGCACTGCCAAAAGCTAAAAGCAAAACACTTTTAGTACAGGGAGTACCACAAACAGCTGTTTAATACTTAAGTTACCATTATACAAAAAAATCGATACAATCTTTTTATATTTATTTTTTTTATACCTAGGTTTTTAGATGCATTACAATTGTTTTTAAAAGATGATGACATTTATTTTTTTTAAATGCTAAATTGTTAAATTAAAATTAGAAAATTTTATTACAATTTTTTTTAATGACCGGAGTGTTTACATATACAGACAATAATTATAAATTGATATAAATTGCTTAATATTTTTAATCATTTATTATAAATAATGCGAAAATTCGTTCATTATTTATTATATATTGAAATGTATTCTCTCTTATTAAATTGCTAAAGTACATTTTTTAATAACAATGAGATATTAATACACTTGAATGTGTTCGTAAATCAAATATTATTAGTCACATCTATATCTTGATAGTATAATCACACGACAATGCCATTTGCATATAAGAGCATTAAGTTAATAATTAAACGAGTTTAAATCATAATCTACTGTAAAATATTAGATTTTTATAAATCATGCGATATATAATAATACTTACAAGTGGCTACTTTGTATCCGTCCATAATAATAGAATAATTCCTATCTTATTAAAATAATAATTGTTATATACATGAAAAAACAGTATTTTATATATTTTATATGTATATAT